CCAAGCCATCTCTTGGCCTACATATTATGCATCTCACCGCTGTCCTGCACAGATCTTTGTATTGCCTCTGCCAGTTCTCGATCTGCAATCTCCTCAGGCCGGGCATCCTCTCGTCCCTCTGGCCCATATGCCAGCCGGGCACACTCAGGCAGCTCTGCCTCAGGTAGAAAACGTGTCTCTGTACCCGTTGTCCCAATGAGGAGGACATTTTTCTTTAGGTCTATGGAGCACTGAATGAAAGCAAGTACAGTTGTGAACAACAGTCAGTAGAAGAGAGCAGACCTTGCATGCACAGATTTCAAGTAATGAATGAAAAAATTTAAACTTCTACTAGTAATCTTCTCTAAAACGTTTGTTTAATAAAATTAAATATACATTTACATAATATTACATTAGGCTAATAAACTATTTGGGTGATATTTGTAAGATTAAGGAGATATAAAATATTTTCACACTGACAATAACATGAAGACAAAGTAATCTCACTTGCTAAAGTCTGTGTGTCTAGGGAATATGGAAAAAGTCTGCATCCTCAACTTTGTTTTATTCCATTAAAGCAACATTAATGGCCAGGCAAACAGATTCCATTACGGGAAACAGATTATTTGATTTGCTGAACCAAAGTTTCCAAGCAGACCTGGTGTCTCTTCAGCATGTCAAGGCCAAGCAGCATATCCATGGGCTGATCTTCCAAAATGGAGAAAGAGCAAGGCAGGAAATCTCCTTCTATCTGTACCTGGGCTGGATGCAAGATATACATTTAGTATAATGGAGGGATGAAATGGATACTGAATATTAAAGGAGCAGGTCTCAATAAATGCCATACCCAAATGGACTCGGCCTATAATTTTCTGGGTGCCAACACCTTTGGCAATGCCTGCCCAGCGTCTGTCCACTAGACGCATGATATTACATCGCTCAGCACATGCTTGGCTCATAATTGTCATCTGAGCTCCTAAAGAAGGATAACCAGAATAATAAAAATAAATAAAAATTAGTAGATAATATGGAAAAAATGTTTTAAAAGGAGTGTCGAAGTAGTATACAAAAATAGCGTATGACTGAAAATAACTCACCTGGATGCTGTATATTAACCCAAAATATGTATCACTTGGTTATTAAGGCATAATGTTCAACGTAACATTACTATGAGCAATATATAACAAAGCACTCCACAACATAATTTCCAGCAGACTTAAAAAAGAAAAGAAAAAAATCTTAAAAAACCTGATTTACTACCTGAGTCAACAAAGGCCTTTACTGGGTGTCCATTGACATTGCAGTTAATGTAGAGCATGACCACCTGGCCAAAACTCTCAGGT